TGTCAATGTAATTCCCCACAACTCTCCAGAGTCTTAACTATCCATCCCTTTGAAATCCAGACCTTTATCAACATATGAATCACTTACCATACAACTCAGTTCTGAAACGGTAGGTCTACACCTGCATCCTCTTTTGCAAGAGGGATGCAAATGAAGACATTCGAAATTGCAAATGAAGCCGGAATTTAAATATCCCACGCTGTCAATGTAATTCCCCACAACTCTCCAGAGTCTTAACTATCCATCCCTTTGAAATCCAGACCTTTATCAACATATGAATCACTTACCATACAACTCAGTTCTGAAACGGTAGGTCTACACCTGCATCCTCTTTTGCAAGAGGGATGCAAATGAAGACATTCGAAATTGCAAATGAAGCCGGAATTTAAATATCCCACGCTTCATTTGCAAAGAGGTGTCATGGCGCTATTTCGAAATAACAGACACTGTTAAAACGTGGTTATTTTGAGAGAAAACCCTTCTCTCGAAATAACCCTTATTCCTCATACAATGAGGTTTACCAGTTATTTCGAGAGAAGGGTTCTCTCTCAAAATAACCGCGTTTTAACAGTGTCTGTTATTTTGAAATAGCGCCATAACACCAGTCATATAATAATAATAATTCATGAGTTACTTACTGTTTACAGTGCACACCAAAGTCTTCTATTTTATTAAGTGGAATAGTCTGGTATTCTGAAGGACCTTCATCTGGAGGCTTAAAGCCCTAAAAAGTTAAACAGCAACCATCACAGTAAGTAAAAAAAGTAATATACATTTCTTCATGCAGAAGAAATAAATCATTTTAAGGCTGCTGCAAATGCTCTGAGTTCCCAATCAAGACAACAACTTCAATTGGGAAAATGGATGACTCAGCAGACTATTATGGATTTTAGAATCTTCTCAATCACTGGCTCATCTGGTCTGGGTTAAAAGTCATTACTATTTGATGGCTATGCAGAAATAAGTTCGTTCTCTCTGACCAGTTCTGAGTGGACAGCCACATCATAAATAGTCATATCTTCTCTTAGGGCAAGGATGAAAGCAGCATGCAGACCAGACTACGCTCTTCACCCCTAGAAGTGATTCCGCAAGAACGAGATTGACAAATACTAGCATAGTAGCAAGATCAACCATGCACTATTGCTAACCTTGTACCTTTCCCAGATCTTCAATCTCCAGTTCTCTCAAGATTAGGGATGTAAAATTCTGTCTAACCAGTTAATCGTTATATGTTATGTAACTGCTTAACTGGGATCCCATGGGCAGGGTTGCTCCCCCAGTTAACTGGTTACATCCCTAGTCAAGATAGCACCTTTCATAACCACTTAACTGGTAAAAGCTACCCATCTGAATCACTTCCATTATTCCTACATTATTCTAAAATGAATGTTTAACTGTGATTTGATTTTTAAGTTCAGGTTATATTTATTCTTCTTGTTTAATGCCCTCATAGTACTTATATGAGGATTTTTTTGTTCATACATGCATTTTTGTTGTCAAACTGATTTCCCTTTATTTAAAAACAAGAGTCTATATACAGTAAAACTCCATTGGTCCGGCATCCAATACTCCGGTACTCCTGATGGTCCGGCACCATTGGGAACCCAGAAGTGCTCCGGGCAGCCGGACAATTGGAGCTGCTCTGTGCCAAGCTTCCCCGACTCAGCTGCAGCTGACCAGCAGCTGAATCGGGGACGCCTGGGGCAGAGCAGCTGGAGTGCTGCCGGGTTGGTCCCATCCCAACTGCTCTGCCCCAGGCGTCCCCGATTCAGCTGCTGCTGAAATTGACCAGCAGTGGCTTAATCGGGGATGCCAGGGGTAGAGCCGGACAATCGGAGGGGGGAGGGGGCTATGAGGGGTCTGGGATGGCATTCCTCTCCCCCCACTCCAGTCCCCTCAAAGCCCCCTCCTCCGATAGTCTGGCATATCTGATAATCCGGCACCCCCTGGGTCCTAAAGATGCCGGATTATCGGAAGTTTACTGTAGATTGATTGTTCAGTATTGCATAAATGTAGCGAGGAATTTCACACATTTTTACAATTACAGTGTTATGCCAGATTGGAGTCTTCCATAAAAAAATAATACTTATTTTTTTTGCAATAGGATCCAGTAGCCCAGCCTCTCACATCCAGATTCCTTTTAACTTCAGATATACACTGCATGAGTGTAAAAGGTCCATTCAAAGAAATCACATTGCAAAAGTAGGCCCCAATTCAGAAAAGACATGCTTCAATTCATACACTATGAGTGATCCTACTGAAGCCAACAGAACTACTCACAGAGCATAAAGTTAAGAATGTGTGTAAGTCTTTGCAGGACAAGGGCCTTTCCTAAAATTCAATAAAGTGAAATTATACTTGAATACATACCAACTAAATAATTATTTTATTTCTCTCTCAATGTAAAAATAAAACTAGACTTGGAAGATTTAGATTTCAGCTTTAAATAATGGCAAGTTAAAATAAATGTCTTAAGATTGCTATATTATCATTTTCAGCTTACAATTTCAATATGTGGGAGTTTTTCTGTTTTATCCCATGAATCTGATAACATTTCTTTGAAAGGCTGTCAAAAATCTAAGTATGAGATTTTTGACTCGCCTCTGAAAGCAATTGCAACACAGATTAACAGGTTTACAAAAATGTGCAGCCAAAAGCTGATTTCTCAACTAAAATTCACTATTTCTCCTTTTCCCTCTGCCCCATAGCAATACAAAGTCTTATAGACCTATGCCAAGAAATTTTAGAAGCAGAACAACTATATTTAACTGCTGCAATTATGTTGCAAGTCCAATACATAAAAATACATTTAGCACAACAGGGAATAAAATTGTGGAAGGAAAAATTAATTCAACTTTTCTAAACAGAACTATCACAAAGACAACCATTTAAGCATTATAATAGCCCAGGTTTATTATTTACATCTGCTAGTAATTGAATGGAATCCTGAAATGTATATCAGATTATTTACCAATGTTATTTTTCTTCTAAGAGGAGCGAATAATTGTAGTACTTCTTAGTTTAGAAAAAAATTACATCTTTTCTGAAAAAAACCAAATAATATAAAAAAGGAAAACCAGGTCAAATTATATGCTTTTGGTGCTTACCAGTGATTCTTAAGAATGAGATCCATACATTTAGTTATAAATAGTTTAATAATCTTGATAATAACCATTTAACTGTATTAATCTTAACTTTTACCTTGGGATATGTTCTAAAAGCTCCAAGATTTACTTTTCCTGCAGATATTGTTCTTGTTGGATCAATCTGTAAAAATATAGATGATTTTTGATATAGGTACGTGACATTCTTATTGATCTATTTTAATTTTATAGTTATTATACTGAATCACTAACATGAAAAGTTGCATTATGTTCTGTAATAAGGAATAATACTTTTGTAATTAATAAGTTTATATGGAGCACTCATGAAAAGAAAGTAGAAGAGTAACAGCTGGCTATTAATCCCACTTCTCTAGGGGCATGTCTACACAGCAGTGTTATTTCAAAATAACTGACAACCGAAATAACATAGTGCGTGTCTATGCTACAAGCCTTTATTTCAAAATAATGTTGAGCTGGAGGATTTCTTACTCTGACTCATGGTGACCCTCATTTCACGAGTAAGGGAAGTCGAACGAAGAGTATTCTTCCTTCAACTTCCTGCTGTGTAGACAATGCCAAAAGATGAATTAAGCTATTTCGATTTAAGCTACGCAATTGACATAGCTGAAGTTGTGTAGCTTAATTCGATTTTAGCCCTGCTGTGTAGATGTGTCCTAGGTTAACACAATGGTTAGTATCAGTCTTGGGAAACCCTGTACTATAAAAAGTGCAGTACAAGTTTGACAATCAGTGATACTGTTTTTAATTTTAATCCTCCAGAAATTAGGGATGGAAAAGACCTATTAGACCATCCAATCTATTTTGGGTATAGGAAGGAGGACAATGCAGGATTATTCTCTATAATACATGTACTAGTGCATTGTCCTGTTTCACTGTAAAAGTAAAACAGAAGAGGCCTCCAACATTTCCTTAGGAGACTACGTACAACATAATAAATCCTAGCATTAGGGATGTTAAATATTGGTAAATTGAATAGTCAATTAACCTCATGAATTCTTATTGGTTACTTGACTGTTCTATAGTCTGTGGGGGGCAGCCATTGTGCTCCAGTCTCACTCCTGAAGAGCCTTCTTCACTCCGTGCTGCTACCTCTGTATCAGAGACAGTAGTGCGCGATGCTGGGGACGGCTTGTCTGCTAGGGGAGCCAGTTTAAAAAACAGCTCCCCATATGGACCAGCTGCTTGTTGCCCCATGCTGTTACTTCTGATACAGAGGCAGCAGTGCAGAGTAGAGCTCCCAGACCTGGCGCTAGCCAGAACTGAGCCAGGCTGCCTGCCTGCCTGGCTCCTAATACACATTAAATGCAGAGCTGTAGTGGGGGTTGGTCCTGGACCGGATGCAAGCCAGAACTGAGCCGAGCCTCTGGCCATCCTGCTAAAACAGTGGTCTCCAATCTTTTTACACCCAAGATCACTTTTTAAATGACAGACCAAGCCAAGATCTACCGCCGCCCCTTCCTTGAAGCCCCGCCCTCTCTATTCTCCTCCTCTCCATCACTTGCTATCCCCAATCCTTATACTGCTGATTTTTTTTTTATTCTTCTGTAGGAAGAGGTTTTTCCAACATTTGGCCTGTCTACACTGGACCAAATGTCAGAAAAAAAAACCCCTTCTTTTAGAAGCCACCTTATTCCTTGTGGAAAGAGGAATATAGGGGTGACCAAAAGAGCCTGTTTGCTTGTCCACTAAAAAAGCGGAAGAACAAACGCAATCCTGGATGCAGAAGAAAAACTCCTGCAGTCTAGCTGGACCCTTGCTGTGTTGAGACAGGATGTGTAGGCTCTGGGGTGGGAATGAGGGATTTGGGTGTGGGAAGGGGTGAGAGGTGCAAGCTCTGAGAGGAAATCTGGATGCAGGAGGAGGTGGAGAAGGGGACACTGGCTCGGGGAGGGGGCTCCAGGCTGGGCAGTGTTGGGATACT